CCCCAAAACCCCAAAACCCCAAAACCCCAAAACCCCTCAGTCTAGAAAGTAATTGATTTGAAGATAGTTAATTATTAAATTAAGCTTAAATTCTAAGGTGAAAGTCATTTCAAATCATTTCTATAAGAATTTAAAAATTCGATACAGACCTTCGAATACCACATATCTGTTGAGAATATGCCTTCGTAGTGACAAACATGGGACCCAGTTCTTGTCGTACCAAGCAGAATGTGAGGGTTCTTCATACATTCCTCATAATCAATATTCTTGGAACCAATAGCAGGGTCGTCTAGTGAATGTAAATATAGAATTGGATTCTAAATCTTTGGGAAAGTCTTGTTCATCGATCCATTGATGTAATAGTCATCAATGTCTTTAAATCCATTTAATTTCCCAACCAACTCATTATATTGATGCAGTTTATTATTCTTATCTTGTAAGAACTTTTCTAGGTCTATTCCAGCTTTTTGTAGTGTCACATCCTTTAAAATGGTTACATTTTTGCTCAATACTCCTTTAAACTTTTTCGTCATGTATTTATCAAAAGATCCAAATAAGTATTTATACATATTTTCTTGAGAAGCTGCTGTTTAATGAGATGATCCGACAATTGCAACAGCATCCAACACTTTACTATCTTCAGGGAACTGAGCTAAGTAGTGAGAAATTAAGTACCCAGAGTATGAGACACCAAACAGAAAAATTTGTCTAGCTTTTTCTTTCTTCTCATTAACGCAGTATTTATTATAAATGTACTATATGGGAGGTTGCAGATCCCAGCCTGATGTTATCCCAGAAATATCAGGTGACTATAGAAAAATGAAATTTGTAATAACTTACTGTTAGATTGAGGCCGTTGGATCCCTTTTGACTGATAATGACAATACAATAGCCTTATTTAATTGCAACATCAATACTTCCAATAATGTAGATGGCGTTAGAGTCACCCATTAATCCTGGAGTTAAAATGAGGAGTGGTCTCTAATCACCTTTTGTTGAGATCTCATTCACCCAATCAATAGCACATGTGCCACCATTTGGATATGTGAATACTTCTCTTAAATATTAGTACTTTGATCTGTACTTTTTATTGGCACTTAACAGCGTATGCTTTGCTATTTACAAAGGAGCAGAGAAGATCAGGAAAGGATCTCTGTATTTCATCGAGTTAAACTTTTTATTGCTGAGAGCTGGTTTTAAATGTTGTGATCCTTTCTATGCATAAAGTACCAAATCTTATGTAGCTCTCTTTTTTAAGCAAATTAAGAGGCTTAAAAAGAGGAAAATAGTTGCATAGTAGCAAGGTGATTCCATCAACTAGTTCATCGTGACGCGATCTGCTTAATATTGTTATATTTTTTAAACAAACATTAAATAGTAGATGCATATTAACCCAACATTCTAGTAGATGAATATTAAACCAACTTTCTATCGCATCAAATTCAATCGATTCAACTACTTGGGGTTTTGGGGTTTTGGGGTTTTGGGGTTTTGGGG